GGACCAGTGGCTCTTCACCACAGCCTGCCCCGTGCGTGGAAGGGGGGCGTGCTCAGAGGGGGTGGTTCTGTCCTCAAAGGGCCCGGGCTCAGCAGCGTGCTGTGTGAAGGCGGTCCCTGCACTGGGTCCCCTGCCTGGGAAAGTCCAGTTCGCTCCTGTCGAGTGCAGGTGCCCATGTTCTCTGCGAGCACCAGCCCGTGTGCCCATCCTGGCACCTGCCGTGCGCCTGTCAGGACCCTTGGGTGTGATTCCCCAGGCCCCTCTCCTTGGCATGTAGGCGGCCCTCATCTCCCCGTGTCTGCACATGGTTGTCCTGCTACCCGGGCCTCTGTGCCCACACTTCCCCTTTTCACAAGGACACCAGTCATACTGGCTCAGGGCCCATCCAGAGACCTCGTTCCAACTTCACCACTTGTTAAGCCCTGATCTCCAATACAGTCATGTTCTGGGGAACTGGGGGTCAGGGCTTAAGCGTGGATTTGAACTGGGGGCACATTAAGTTCACGACAGCCTACAGTCCGTCCCTGAAGGCCAGCTCCCGTCGGGCTGCAGCCGGAACCAGTGCTCTGAGCCTGAACGAGGGTGGATGGTTGTGGCTGCAGTAGCTGCAGTGGCCAGCCCGGTCGCCCAAACAGAGTGCACAGGCCGGAGGTCCGAGATGAAGGTGTCGCAGGGCTGCCTCCGACTGTGAGAATCTTCCCCAGAGTGCACAGGCCGGAGGTCCGAGATGAAGGTGTCGCAGGGCTGCCTCCGACTGTGAGAGCATCTTCCCCAGGCCCCTCTCCTTGGCGTGTAGGTGGCCCTCATCTCCCCGTGTCTGCACATGGTTGTCCTGCTACCCGGGCCTCTGTGCCCACACTTCCCCTTTTCACAAGGACACCAGTCATACTGGCTCAGGGCCCATCCAGAGACCTCGTTCCAACTTCACCACTTGTTAAGCCCTGATCTCCAATACAGTCACGTTCTGGGGAACTGGGGTCAGGGCTTAAGCGTGGATTTGAATTGGGGGCACATTAAGTTCACGACAGCCTACAATCCATCTTCTGTCATCTCCATTATACCTTTTGGTCTCATCGCTTGGCCTCTCGGTGCCTAGGAAAGCTGTGCCCGCTGCAGGGTCTCCCATGTGGGGCCGCCCTGAGGCTTCTGTCTGGTTGCAGGTACATCCACCCCTGCGAGATCTGTGGCCGGATCTTCAACAGCATCGGGAACCTGGAGCGGCATAAACTCATCCACACGGGTAGGGGTTCCTGTCGGGCACAGGGCCCCGGGCTGACGGGGGTGGACGGCCTTCTCTGTGGGCTTCGTGCGCGGAGCAGTTGTGCATCGTCCCCCTCAGTGCATTCCTCGGTCCCGCTTCTCATGTCCTGGCCACGGCGTCTGCTCCCAGCACGTTCCTGCCCCATCACCCGCTCCAGATCCTCGTAGCTGCCTGCCAACAAGCCCAGAGGAAGGCCCTGAGGCGGTGGAGGGAGGGTTGGCCATGCTTCCGGCTGTGGGGAGGCTGCCTTCCTCCCAGTTACTGCCTTGCCGCCTTACCCACGGCTGCGGGTCTTCCAGGAGTGACATGGGGTGCCTTGTGGGTAGGTGTGAAGAGCCACGCCTGCGAGCAGTGTGGGAAGTCCTTCGCCAGGAAGGACATGCTGAAGGAGCACATGCGCGTGCACGACAACATCCGGGAGTACCTGTGCGCCGAGTGCGGGAAAGGTATGGTCCCGGGCGCGTCCACGTGGCGCTGGAACCGGCCTTCAGGGGTGCAGCTGCTCCCTGTTGCAGGGAGAGCCTTTCAGAGCAGAGCCCCCCTTCCCGTCCCCCTTCCGCAGTCCCTGACACCTGTGCCTGCCCAAGGGTTGGGGTGTGGGCACTGGAGGGGGGTTGGGCACAGGCGCTGGGGGGATCCAGGGCACAGGGGTGGTTAGGGGGATCCAGGGCACAGGGGTGGTTAGGGGGATCCTGGGCGGGCGGAGACGGGTCCGGCACGGTCG